CTTAACCAACGTCTTTATTAAAATTCTGGAAATTAATTAATTATAGAAAGTATCATAGTCGGTGTAAATGTGTAAAGTTTTAATGTGACGAACAGATTGTAAATATGTTTTCAATAATAGGGAAAATGTCGCCGATTCATTGTTTTTCGGTTGATGGAAAAACAGATACAGAATTTTCTCATACGTGAAGGAAAATGTGTTTCGGTCATATGATACCTTGTATTCCTTTCTTTTGCATGATTTTATATTCACGTTTCTGTAAATTTCTTCACATTGAATATCGAAAGTTCTTTTCATTATTTAACACACTTGTTGAACACGTCGACCTATTCACGGCTAATGCTAAGTTTATAAAACGCATCTTTTTGACACGGCGGTCAACATCATTCAATTTATGATCATTGAAATTCTAAAAAAGCATTTATCACGAATTAAACTAATAAATTTGTTTCATTCGACACACGAACCATTGAAAGCAGAATTGGGGAAAGTCAAGAAAGCTAATTTGCGGATAAATTGAAAGTTCTGTAAAATGCAATAACGTACAAAATTGCAACTTCATAAATGTAAAAAGAATTAAATAAAATAATAAATTAAATATGATTCAATAATATCAAATAAAGCTAGCCAAAAATTAATTTACACACCACTTTCCCTTTAAACAGCTAATATATTATAATGAAAAATCTTTAATATCGGAATAGATATGTATGCTCATTATTTTGATAAAACAGCCATTTTTAATATTCCGTAAAGCTAGTGTTAATAACACCGTGTTGAAATATTGACGAGAATATTTATTCATACAAATAAAAAAATACATTCAACTTGTATTCTATATTTAACTTTTCTCACACGATTTTTTATTGAAGTCTTTCTAAGGAAATATAATCAGAGAAAAATTCTTTCGATTCTTCTAAATACTTGTTAACCACGTAATCCAATTTACGATTGACTTATGATAGCGTTTACATTGAATAGAATCGCGTAAAAGTCTCGAGAAAGAAGTTGCCTCATAAAAAAAAATGAAAATATATATAAGTTTTATCATACATTTAATTTCCTTTACTTCATACTTTATTCAAGTTTTCCACACTTTCTTCGCATTGAACACGGGAAAATTCTTTCGGTTCTTCAAAAAAACTTGTCAACCACGTCATCCAATTTACGATTGACTTATGATAGCGTGTACATTGAATAGAACCGCGTAAAAGTCTCGAGAAAGAAGTTGCCTCATAAAAAAAAATGAAAATATATATAAGTTTTATCATACATTTAATTTCCTTTACTTCATACTTTATTCAAGTTTTCCACACTTTCTTCGCATTGAACACGGGAAAATTCTTTCGGTTCTTCAAAAAAACTTGTCAACCACGTCATCCAATTTACGATTGACTTATGATAGCGTGTACATTGAATAGAACCGCGTAAAAGTCTCGAGAAAGAAGTTGCCTCATAAAAAAAAATGAAAATATATATAAGTTTTATCATACATTTAATTTCCTTTACTTCATACTTTATTCAAGTTTTCCACACTTTCTTCGCATTGAACACGGGAAAATTCTTTCGGTTCTTCAAAAAAACTTGTCAACCACGTCATCCAATTTACGATTGACTTATGATAGCGTGTACATTGAATAGAACCGCGTAAAAGTCTCGAGAAAGAAGTTGCCTCATAAAAAAAAATGAAAATATATATAAGTTTTATCATACATTTAATTTCCTTTACTTCATACTTTATTCAAGTTTTCCACACTTTCTTCGCATTGAACACGGGAAAATTCTTTCGGTTCCTCAAAAAAACTTGTCAACCACGTCATCCAATTTACGATTGACTTATGATAACGTGTACATTAAATAGGATCGCTTAGAAATCTCGAGAGAAAAGTGTCGCCGCGGCGCGGCCCACCAAGCAAAAGCGGACACAGGAAACCGCGAGCAGGATTTATGCGAGTGCCGGCCAGAACTCGCCGCACGTTTGCTTGAGGAATTAACCGGGGTTTCCACGGTGAAACGCGCTATCTATTAACCTGTACGTAGCCCAGGCCCGAGAAGTATTCATCCCCCGAGTCTCGACAGCAGAAGCGAACAAGGTAATCCCGCTCGTTAATTTCCCTGGGAATCGATGAATAAGAGCCGGGCCACGTTTCGAAGATTTACCGAGGCCCCCTTATGGTGACGCGGTTCGAGCACATGGGCCACCAATAGAATCCGCCACCAGCGACGCGGGTACCAATAATTTCAGTATTGGTTACACTGAAAACGCTCCTGCGAGCTTCGCAGGATCTGCCCTCGGAGAATGCGCCGAAAACAAAGCTCGGCAAGAGAATTATTTCAAATATCTATGCGACGACATCAAGTGCAACAACATTGGTCAATATAAAATGATTTTGCTACATCTGGAAGAGGTTTGAAAGATGCATGACAATATCTGGAATAACTTCAGAACAGGAAAGACAATTTTAGAAATACCTGAAGTAATTTTAATGGACGTGAGACATTTTTTATACTGTTCAGAATAATTTCAGAACGTGATAGACAACTCTGAAAATATTTGAAGCAATTTTCAAATATGTAAGACGACTTTTAAAATATCTAGAATAATTTCAGAATAGGGAAGACAATTTTTAAAATACCTGAAGTAATTTTAATGGACGTGAGACATTATTTAAAATGCTCAGAATAATTTCAGAACGTGATAGACAACTTTGAAAATATTTGAAGCAATTTTCATATATATAAGACGACTTTTAACATATCTAGAATAATTTCAGAATAGGAAAGACAATTTTAAAAATACCTGAAGTAATTTTAATGGACGTGAGACATTATTTAAAATGTCCAGAATAATTTCAGAATGTGATTGACAACTCTGAAAAGATTTGAAGCAATTTTCAAATATGTAAGACGACTTTTAAAATATGTAGAATAATTTCAGAAGAGAAAAGACAATTTTAAAAATATCTAAAGTAATTTTAATGTACGTGAGACATTTCTTAAAATGTTCGGAATAATTTCAGACCGTGATAGAGAACTTTGTGAATATTTGAAGCAACTTTAAAATATGTAAAACGATTTTTAAAATATCTAGAATAATTTCAGAACATACGGCGATATTGAAACATGTGAAACAATTTGAAAACATTTAGAATGAATTTCTAGCGTGGAAGGCCATTCTTGAAACATCTAGATTCATTTTAAGCCAGTAACATTATCCTAGAACGTCTACAATGATTTTCGAACACGTAAGACAATTTTCGCAACATTTACAGCAATTTCGAAACCGGAAAGGCAATTTCAAGAATACCTAAAGCAATGTTAGAACACGTAAGACAACTTGAAAAATATCTAAAGCAATTTTGGAGCATGTAAGACATCTCTACGACATCGCGAAGCACATCTGAGTTTGAATTAACAATTAACACAATGATACGATAACACATAGAGAAGCAGACAACGTGACAATGCCAATAACCGAACGATTGCCAGAATGGTGATTGGAGATAAATTATTATTGCACTGGAAATCTTTCGGACATATTGCTACTAATAATAAGCTACAAATTTTAAAAACCCACAGGACAAAAAAACCCTTTCATCGTAAGTTGTTACTATCTCTAACACTAAACCTACCGAGCTCTGAACGCGACTCATAAAAATGAAACGATTTAACTTATTTAGACTTTTCGCTATATTTATTGCAATGCAAGCTCGCACGCAGGAATTTATTGAGTCATTTCCAGATTTTTGAAATAGTTTGTATCTTTTCGTGTAATACAGAATTTGACAAATAAACTTTCCTTCAGGTAAGAGTTACATATCGAAATAGCATTCTCAAATATATTCGACTACATAATATTCATATGTAATTACTAGGCTGGATTTTAATTACTAGTGGATTTTTATGCATTCATGGAAAAATTGGGTAGCTGCAATTTTAGATATTTAAGAAATTAAAAACATTTCGAATCGTCAATGTACTATTTTTAATCTACTAAGATGATCGAAGAAAGAGTGAAGTTGCTACTTGCTTTATATTCCCTGTAATTCGTACACACTATATTTATTTATCAAAAACAGTTTATTTGCCATTCTGTATTACATCAGAACATACAAATATTTATAGTACACTTATATATAGTACTTATATATAGTATATATAGTACACTTATATATAGTACTTATATATAGTACTTATATATAGTATATATAGTACTTATATATAGTATATTTAGTACTCTTATATTTAGTACATTTATATAGTA